CCCGAGCAGAAATCGCCGGAAAATGGACAGCAACGGTAGAGACGAGGAAAGCCCAAACTACCTTGAGCTGGAACGAGGCTCCAGCGAGCAGGAGTCGCCGGAAAAGAAACAAAAAAGGCGCCGGGCGACGCGAAGTGAACAGAAACGGACTTGGCCAGAGAACGGGACTGCCGAAAGAAGGAACTTCTGGCGCAGGAGACTTGAACGGGAGCTGCCGGAAACAGAAGAGCTACCACGGGACCCTACCGGCGACGGCGGTGAGGAAGGCGCAAGAAATTTCAAATTTATTTGGCCGTCTCTGATACCATGAAGTCGCAGGGGGGAGAGAAGAAAGTATATGTTTTTTTTATTTCATTTAATCCCTAATATACATATATATATACAAACTATTTACAGGACAAGTCCCTATAAATGAGATACTATCAATTATGGTCACATATATTTAACAGGTCTCATTTTGAAGGACGCCAAATGAAGGCGCTATTGGGCGACTCCCACAATAGGCCATCTCGTTTCAAGCATGCTCCTACATGAGATTAGGCAAAACAATGAGCCCAATCCCATTTCTTCTTGTAGTGCACTTCTGCCAGGGAATATGGTTGAGGCAGTTTCTGATATTTGGGGGTTTGTTGTCCTCTCTGTATTTTTGTCCAATATATACCGTATAAAATTTCAGATATTTTGGAGTTAGGAAGGAGGCGAGAATTCTATGTCTATGTTATAATGGCTGTAATATGGTTTATATGGCTTCAGGAATGCTAAATATTTCACAATCATTCCTCCAATGTTTCATCATCTCTGGGACAAAATAGTGTGCATACTCATTTAGTTTTGTTTTCCCTTACATGCATTTGATTACTCCTTGTCCTCTACCTTTTCATCTCCATAACTTTAATTCTTTGTTTCACAAAATAAAGAAATTTGTAAAATAAAGAAACAAGCACCCAGATTGATTGCTTAGAAGACTGATTTTGTGGTTGTAATGACAGTTTTTTTTTTTCACCCCTCTAGATGACTACCTCTTCTATTCCAAATTGAGTGTCGTGATTGTGACTTAGATAAAAGTTGGAAAAGTTATGTTCATATAGTTCTCTGTGTACCTTCCTGAAGATCATTTGAATACTAGAAAGAGGACATTTAGTTGGAAGTAAGAATAGAAGAAAAATGAATCCACTCAGTTTGGGACCAACGGGAGTGCTAAACCTTGTTATCCATTGCAAAGAAAAATAAAATTTACCAAACTCTTGAACTAGAATTTCTTTCGTCGAATATGTTTGTACTAGAAAAAGTAAGAGTTGTACTGATGTTAAGAAGATATTTATGTTTTGACTTTATTTAATCTCAATGTAACATGTAATTGTTGTTCTCTTACAGTCGGCGATAGTTATGTAACATATTATGAACTACCTTAATTGAATGGTATTTTTGCTTGACCAAAAATTTTAGTATATTGCAATTGACCTATTCTAACATTCTGTGCTTTATTTAAATAGATATCAAAGGATTGATTTTCGGGTACCACCATCCCTACGAAGCTATGATGATGCTAATGTTGCATCTGAGTAAGTACTTTCACAAATTCATATATATTAGTTTGCCTTGAGTCACAATAAAATAAGCCAAGAATCACAGTATCTACTTTTCTTTTCATGGGTTATTAAATTGAAGTCAAATAGTGGCCGGCCTTGGTTCATTAAATATTAAGTTTATTTTCTATTACCATAGTACATCTCATACTTATTGTCAGCGACATGTTTTAGTCTTTAAAGTAATGGAAAGCAACAACAATAAACTTCAAATTATACATTTTCCTGACAGAGATTCTTGTCTACAATTTGACCAAGCTTTTATCATCGAAGAAGTATAGTTATCTGTTACTGGTGTAATATTCTCAATCACGATGAATCTTACCATCTGCTACTGGCGTCTTATTTCCGTAATATGATATCTGAAACTCTTTAAGCATAGTGGTAAAACTACATTTCTGTCGGTGGTGATAAGCATTTCCCTCATTTCTGTCTCGCTCTGCCGTACTTGTTAATGTCTCTATTCTGCAGATCAAAGCTCAGATGGGAGGATATTTGTGCCTTTCGAGTTTTTCCTCATAAGTCCCAAATCTCATTGCAACTCTTTGAACTTAAGGATGACTATATTCAGCAGGAAATCAGAAAACATCCGAGTCGAACAACCTGCAATGTATGTTAATTCATGTCTGTTTCTAATATTGTCTCGATGGTAGTTTTTGAAGTTTTGAATTTTTTTAATTTCATAGCCACTTTATATCTGGACATAAGATTGTAGGACGTGTCATGCAAAATGATGCATAAGCTATCTCTTTTGAAGTGAGAAACTTTTGCATAAATCCTCAAGTGATATTTTATGATCTCGGACTCAGCTATGATTCTATGCCTTGATGACAATTATGTCGTTTACTATATTTAGCTGCTTTAGCATTTCTACATGAATCTGATTTGCCTCCTCGGTTTGAGGTTATAATAAACAAAGTTAAATGAATTTATCCTACCCATAATAAAAATGTGAGTAACCAGAAACTGGGAATTAACAAGAATCAAAATAAATTAGTTACTCATCAAAGATTCATCTATCATAGACAAGGATTGGATAGTAAAAATTGTAAATCTATTTTGCATAGAATTGTTATTTGTTTACTATATTAAAAATGAGGTTCTTTATTCCCGATCAACAGACTTATAGAAAGGAGGTCATTGAAACCCTAAATCCTGATTTCATTATTACATGCTTTGAATAACTAAATTTCTATCTGTGGTCAATTTATTCTTTCTTTAAGTAGGTATTGTCTCTAATTCGTACTGACTGTCCTTACTTAGGGCCTAGGTGAACATGAATTAATTGAGCCAAAAATTTGATGGAAGTAACTTTCATATTTTGTTAAATAAAAGGATTTTGGATGTGTTCCAAGAATTATTATATAAGAGAGAAATTTTTAGCTTGACCCAGATGAAAGGAAAGAAAATCTACAGAGCTTTCCAAAAATAGTATTAGATTTTGTGATAAAGCGATTGGAACAATCCCTGCTATAACTACTCATCCAACATATTCCTTATCGAAGTGAGATTCAAGTAAAATAATGTCTGGTTTGATTTTGGGCATAGCTTTTGGGCATATAGTTGTCAAGCTTTCTTTCCTATCACTTTCATATTCCTCTGCAATTTGCCTATTTCCATTTCAGTAAATTATTTCTGTACGTGTAGTTCTTCTGTAATATATATGCATATATTCTGACTTCATTTTGTTTACAGTTGGCAACTGGATGGTTTTTATCACGTGTGATTGATAGGTTGAGACTGTGTGTTGCGGTGAGGTTTCTGTCAGTGTACCCTAAGGGTGGTGCAGAATCCTTGTTGAGATCTGTTTCTAATCGCTTTGAAAAGTCAAAGAGGATGCACATTTATATGAAAGACAAGAGAGTTGATGAAGAAGGTCAACAGCCCAATAAAGGTGTGAATCAATTAGCAGAATCTATATTATACTTTCCTGATTCTTTGTGAATTCATTTCCATATCTTCTCCTTGTTCACGAGTTATTTTCAACAAATGTTAAAACATATTCCCATTCTTCTTCTTCTTCTCCTCGTTTTTTTTTTTGGTTTGGGGGTGAGTTTGTTGGTAAGGCAAAGGAATAAGGCCATTTGCAACTTGATCCTGCTGTTTGTGTATGCTCACTTGTTGAGCTGTCCTTTTCAACTTGAAAAGAAATATATTTGTAAAGCTACAAATTTTCTCTGTTGAGTCTTCGACATTCTCCAGCTTTTTTAACAGTTTTGAGATTATTAAATTATTCAGATCGTGCTATATACAACTTTAAATTTGGCTGCCACAAAGATACCGCTGCTATTAGCCACTCGTATCTTTATCTGCTAAAATACCATTTTGATGCATCTTACTCCACAGAAGTGATGGATAATGAAAGCAAAGAACCCAATGAAGATGGTGAAGATGAGGAAGATGAAAATGAAGATGACAATCTTGGAGAGGATATGGATGCAGACGAGCCATTTGACCTGGTCAATAGACCTTTTCTTTTTATGCTTTTGCCTTCTACTATTGTGCATATACCCATTTACATTTACTAGTTCTTTGGTTCTTTCTTTTAACATCAACTGAACGACTTGACACCTCCTAAAGTTCCAATTTCTTGTTTCCAGGTCAGTCACCAAAGGAATTTCTCGCTACAACCACATACATGTATCCTCGCATCATTCTCTTGTTTTTTACTCTGTTTTTCTATAATTTTTTTTGAGATATTTATGAGAATGTGCCTCTTCCGTTCACTAGTCACCATAATATAACTCCCAAGAAACAAGGAGAAGAAAGTATGTTTTGTGAAATGCGAGATCTATAATAAGTTGAAACAAACAAAATCTGCACATTCATTTCCTTTACGCACGTTAATCAGATACAGAGAATGAGAACGTCTCAAGGGATTATCTTCAGGACCTATTCGGTAGTTTTCCATTTGGTGTAGATCATCAAGAAGAAGATGATGCTCATCTTACTGCAGGGGAGTATCAGATATATGAACAATATAGTGATGACAACTATTCTGAAGACGAAGGTTACTGAAGAATTATTTTAACCATTTGTATTTCATATTAATGTATATATACACAACATAATCTTTCTCTTTTACAGTTTTACCATTAATTTAAAACTTTGGATTTGTTTATATTCGAATAATTTAGGATTTTGGATTCCTTGTCGCAGCTGAATATGGCCACCTAACAATTGCTACAAGAGAAGAAACCTACCTTTAAAGTAATAAAGGATAACTCAAGATGCGCTTGACACATCACATTTTTTATAACTTTGATATTTATGTACTCTATCGATAAATTAATAACTTGTCTAAAGTAATAAAATTTTGCAATCTCCATATTATTATTTTATAGAAATTTTACTGTAAATGCATTTTCATGGGGCATAGTCGACTATTCGGCATGAAGGACAACAATGTATTGAAGTCAACATTAAGTTTAGTTTTTGCACGTACAATCAGTGGCAGATTGAAGATTGTAGGTAAGTTAGAGCGATCGTTGACCGTTTTACCAATGATCATCGACATATAACGACGGTAATAACGACGTCATTTATTAATATTTAATTAAATAATATTAAAAATTCTTCTATCTAATATAAATACGCTAAAACGTAAAAATCATATAAGTGGAAATTACACTGTGCCCTACTTTTCAAGATCACTATTCAAAAATCAGATTGAAGGTTTCATTGTTCAAAAATCAGATATTTAATATTTAAATATTATA